AGGCGGTGCTCTCGGCCTCCGCCGAGGTAGGCAGTCTGTGAGCGGCGCCCGGGCGCCTGGGTAGGCGCCTCCCGAGCGACGGCGCCCATTTTGCCCTCCCGTCCGCCGAAGAGAGCTGTGCGCGGCCTACGCTCTTCGGGGACAGCCCTTTGAGGCGACGTCGCCGCGAACGCCGGCCTCTTGAGCCAGGGGAACGCTCTGTTGAAAGTCGGTCCCAAAACAGTTAAGGTTTTATTTTCTTTTGTTTTATTTTAAGTCACAGCCCCCGAATCTCGTACAACTCTCCCTGGATCACTTCCGGTTACCGGCCCGCGTCTCGCAACTTCAGTTCTGGTGACCTCGGCCCGGGCTGCCCCTCGGCTCGCCCCGGGCTCCCGTCGCGATCTGGCTCGAGCGGCTCGGGGTGGGAGACCTGGAAGCGTTAGCCTAGCTGTTCTCGAGGTGGAGTAATTAGCTCAAGAAACGTTATATTCATGTGAGTAACCTTTTGCAGAAACAGTGCTCTACTGGATCTGAAAAAGTAGCTCGGGCTTGGCTGCTGCTGCGCTCTGGCAGGGCTTTTAGATACCTATTTGTTCGATACCAGGAAGGGGAGTCGGGGGACTTCAGTTTTGAAAGTTCAGGTGCTTTACGCCAGCTGTCCAGAAGAGTTTCCTCAGCTCATTTTTTCCTTGCTGCTATCAGAAATGGTGAAATTGTATGTAAAAGTAATTTTATTTGACGTATATCGATGTGCCAAGGCTTAAATGTATAGAGCTCCCAACTCACAAGTTAACGAATTCCATGAGAATTTTAGGAGCGATTCTAAACCAGACCAAAATGTGCCTTGGTGCCGCCCCAGCGGATCGCGTTTGTCTCTTTGTTTCTCCATGCTCTGTGCAGTTTTGAAGCCAGGCATATATGGCAGTACTGGAAAGGGAACATACCCTAGGTGTTACTTGAAGAAGTGTTGATGCTTTGCTCTTTTCTCCCAAGTCAGTTCCAACCCAAGTCTCCCAGCAAATAGGCCCGCAAAGCCAGTGGAACCATTTGTAATGTATATGCCAGCAACCTGTTTTTACCCGACGCTTAAGGATCACATGGCACAGCTTTCCATGATTAACTTTGGTAATGATGAAGGCTGGAAGGTTTTCAAGTGTACGTTGGACCTATTTGTAATGTGTTAAGTTTGATTTTGTCTCACATTTTATTTTCAGTTACTGTTCATGGCTACTGTGCCCTTTCATTATATTTCAAATTTATAAAGTTCCTTTATGTATTTTCAAGGAGAAAAACATTTTGATTATTGTTGGTGTTAATCTCATGTTCCAGAATAACATCCACTTTTGTAATGCTAATAGCTACCTTTTTACACACTGACCCAATTGAACTCAGGCTCTGCAACTTTCTAGTTTACTTACCAGATGCAAATTATCTAACCTCTTAGCTTTTTTCAACTTTAAGTGGGGGTACTAATAGTACCCCATGAGACCATGCAGATTAAATGAGTTGATGTTTACGAACATATATAAAGCACGCAAGAACTGCTTCATAAGCACTATTGATCAATATGTCCTTTAATTCTCATTTTATGCCTCAGGAAACTGAGGTAGAAACAAGTGAACTTGTCCAAAGTCACAAAAGCTTATATGTGTGAGAATCAGGATTCATAAGCAAGAAAGATTGATTCCAAGCCAATGTTATCTACAACTTCATCCTTGTAACTGGATGAATTTACTAAATGACTTCAAATAAAGTAAGTGTAGTTAACGGATTGATGTTTAAAAACTACTCAACACCTGGAAATTAAAGCAAATCATGCTTTTTTAAAAAAAGACAATAATTCATTTGGTAAAGGAAAAGTGGTTGTCTCAGTGATCTACAAAATCCTATATTACATGTTACCTGTTTAGAGCATAATTTTCAAAATGCGTAAGAAGAATTTGTGCCAATATGGTCCCTTGCGTCAAGGTGACCCCCATGAGGATGATCTCTTTTAGTGGATGATACAGCTATAAATCTTTGGGGCTTTGTGGGGAATCGAACTCAGGACCTTGCACTTGCCAGGCAGGCGCTTATGTCGCTGAGCTATATCCCCAGCCTGATACAGTTATAAAGTTTTCTAAACATGTTTTAGAATCTGTTTGGATCTGCAGCTGGTAATTTTCCTCAAATTGCATAGGTTTGTAGTAGGTATATTGTTTTGCACCTTGTCCCTAAGTTTATCTTGAGGTTTTAAGAGACTCATTTTACTTCAAGGAGCCCTCAATTTTGTGAACAAGTATCATGAAAAAAAATGTTCTCTGGTCAAATAACCTTAGGAAATATTGTTAAACAACATAAAGTTTCTTTACTGCACAACTTGCCAGAACTTTAGCTATGCTAATGTGTGTTATAACTCAAGATTCCCAAACTTATTTGACCAGAAACAGTGTTGGGAGCAAGTGCTCTGTGAATCAGCACATTTAAGGAAATGGTATCCCTTTCAACAACCTGTGGTTTTTGCCTTTGAATTGTCTTGCTCAGCCTTTTCTTTTCTCTGCTGAGGATGTGGTTAATCAATGATGTTTGTGTGGTGACTTCTCTGCCACTGGATCACTATAGTTCCCTTCCCGAGAGGCCTTCATGCTGTCTCAGTGTAGAACACACAAGTCCACAACAAGGGGCTAAGGGTTGTCCCCAGACTCATCTTGCTGAAGATAGCACATTCACCTTTGGGGTGGAGCAGCACAGACCACGGCCCTTCCTCTGAGGATATTTTGGGGTGACTCATAAGAACTTCAAACATCATCTCCAGCCTCTCTTCCCTCTCTTCTGCTGAAATTATTTAATTGTAAAATCAGTGTAAAAAATAAAATTTTGGTTTTATTCAAAAGAAATTTAAATATCAACATGTTGGTTGTTGCTAGGACCTATATATAAAGTTGAAACAGTCCTGAAGCCCTTAACTCTTGGCTTCTACATTTTTAAAAAAATTGTTGGCTACACCTATACCTCCTGTGCTCAAAATCAATGTATTTATTTGATATAAGCTAATTTAGTATAAATGTTTACATTAATAACTTAATATACTAATCATTTTGTTTAATATATTTCAAATATTTTGATACAATTGATATAGTAATATATTTTATTTTTACATTAGGGTTTACTGGATTTTTGTTTGGATCACTTCTTTCTAAAACTTGGGGAAGAAGGAAGTCAAACAGTGATATCTGCTAAATGGAAAAAAAAATGGCTTAAAATAATATAACTAGGGGTTGGGCTTATAGTTCAGTGGTATGAGCACCGGCCTGAGAAGCACAAGGTCCTGAGTTCAATCCCCAGCACCCTCCTTGCCCCCCAAAAATATGTATATATAGAGGCTTATGCATTTTAGACAAGTGGAAAGTGAAGAGAAAAAAAGTATGAAGTTTGAAATAAGCCTGTGGGCTGGCAAGATAGCTCAGTGGACTAAGTGCCTGCTTAGGCAAGCACAGGGGCCTAGGTTCGATCCCTGGCACCACATGCTGTGCTGCCCTCCCCCCAGACATGTTGTGCTGTCCACTGAGATCGGGGATAGTGGTACATGCCTGTAATCCCAGCGCTGGGAAGGCTGAAAACAGGAGAATCACAAGTTCAAGCTGTGTAGTGAGACCCTGTACCAAATACATAAAAGACAAAAAAATTTAAAAAGAAATGAGCTTGGTATTTGGGGGGAGTTTACATTCAGTATAGTGGGAGTGGTGGGTTTTGCTGGAATTGATGATAAATGGGATGTAGAAATTGAAGAAAAAGTGTAAATCCAAGATAACTCCTAAGTTTTGGGTGTGTAGAATCAGAAGAGGCATTGGTTAAGGACAAGTCTGCGATGAGAGCACATCTGTGTGGAAACAGGCGCCTGTGCCGCGCTCGGAGACAGGGCCACTCCGGAGAGCCGGGCAAGCAGGCATGGTGCACTTATACTTAAGAGCACAGTGTCAGACCCCTTCTTAGGCCTGGAGGAGTTTAGTTTTTCTCTTTTCCTTTTAGGGAGGGCAAACTAGTGAGAAAAAACTAGCAGAGTGAAGTTGTTATCCTTGAGAGAGAAGGATTTGGCTTTGCTCTTGCTTGTTCCTATTCTGTGTCTTGGTCCTAACATCGGGTTTGCTCTGCACAGCCTCCCTGGATGTGCTGCATTCTCTTTCCCCCAGTGGCTACCTGATGGGAATAAGAGGCCTGTATTTTGTGAGACAAATCCCCCATTGGCACGTTTGTGTCGTTGAAAGGTAGGGCCCAAAAGGTCCATGTAAAGCTCATGTCAAGTTTTTGTGATATTCAGGGCTGGGCAGAGGTGTGTTTCCTTTACAACTCTCAAAGGGCAGAGGGGATTTTCTGGCTTGTGTCTGTATGGGAAAATGAGCTCCCCCCCCCAACATGCTGCAGCATCATTAGGTGAATACTTAGCATTTGCTCTCAGTTTAGAATCACTGTGACCCCCACAGTCACTTGTAGCTCAAAAATTCCGTGAAGCTGCCCTACATATTTTTCCTAACATGAAAATCTCCTTTTGGAAATGTCTTGCTACGATAAGAAACCTTAGTTAGTAGACTGATAAATAAGTCCTTTGCCTTTAAATTCTTAATTTCAGTTTAGAAAAACATGCAGATGACTTAGAATCTTACTTTTTAAAAACTGGAAACTTCTCAGAAGTGTCTTGTACCTGGGGAGTATGGCATCGATGTCTGTGTCACTGCCTTCCTGCCAAAGCAGTGTCCTTAGGCACGCAGCTGTGCACTTTGTATTGCTAACTGCATTTTGCCAGACACTGTTCTGTGAATGCAGAGAATGGGTGAGGCGAGGGCCCAGCCTCGTGGCCCTTGGCCTGTGCTCCTACAAGGGCCTGTGCTCCTACAGAGCTTATCTAGAACCCTTGAGTGTTTTGTAGCCAACAGCATTACCGTGACATCACCGTCACTTTCAGCCTTGCAGAAAGCTTCAGATGTGTTTGTTTCTAATCAGGCTGTGCAAGTAGATATGTATGAGCTTTGCTTCTGGTTAGTGGTTGCTAGTCCCAAGTCACCTTGCTCAGTGGTGAGTTCATTTAAACCCAGAAAGTCACACCTGTGTCCTGTGCACGGGTGCTGCAGGCTTAGGTGGAGAAAAGCAGGGATAAAGTTGGAACCCAAAGCCCAGAATGGCAGGAGAGGATGTGGGGGCTCCACCAGATCACCTCTGGGTTCACCAGGAGGGAATCTACCGCGACGAATACCAGCGTACATGGGTGGCCGTCGTGGAAGAGGTAACTTCTCATTTTGCTTATTTCTTTAATTTTGCTTTTAAGTAACTTGATTTCTATCCATTGTCAATATTCTGAAGTGTTCGGTTTTGTTTTGGATCATGCCTTGCCTTTAGGAGACGAGTTTCCTCAGGGCACGAGTCCAGCAAGTCCAGGTTCCCTTAGGTGATGCAGCTAGGCCAAGTCACCTTCTTACCTCCCAGCTACCTCTCATGTGGCAACTCTACCCAGAGGAGCGCTACATGGATAACAACTCTCGCTTGTGGCAGATACAGCATCATCTAATGGTATATGTGTTGCTTCATCATATTCCATTGTATCGGGACTCTTGTATCAGGGTACTTTATAAACTTTTCTTTTTCTGACAGGTCAGGGGAGTGCAGGAGCTGTTGCTTAAGCTTTTGCCTGATGATTAACCTGGTATGTACTTCTAGTTCTCCTCCTTCCTCCCTTTCTTTGTTTTGCACTCTATTCAGTTGTGGTGACTTTAATGATTTTTTCTTCCAGGTGCTGGGACTCTAGGAAGATATGCTCCTCTGTTGTGTTCAGTATATGGCAATCTTCACCCACCACCACAGCGCACCCACTCTTGGGCCTGGTGGGAGGGAGTGGGTTGGAAAACTGATGGAGGACATAGACGTTTAGGAAGGGTCTTGAAGAACAACTGCAAGTGACCCTGCAGAGCGAGTTACACAGGCAGAAAGTGAGTCAACAAAGGCACTTAGTCAGGATATATAACTTGAAGTTGACTCCCTTGGAGATTGCCGTAGAACCTTTACTGGACATCACCGGCTGGACCTGGGGTTTGATGAATCCCACAAAAGTCAGCACGTGCTACAGAACAGATACCCTGATCACCAAGGACTTGGTACTGATTTAGAGAGAAGAGAGCAGCTCCTAGAAGCATCAACATCTATTTGTCACTTACTTGCCCTGCAGAAATTCACCTGCCTTTCCTTCTCCCATCCTGTAAATATCCTAGGTTTTGCTCCAGTGTTTCCCATCCCAGTACTGACCTAATTTGGATCTATTGAGAATTTAGGGGGTTAGCATGGGGAAAGGGTTATTTGTATTGATGAAATCAGTTACAAAGGCTCCCAGGCCTCTTTTCTTCCTGAAAATGTGCTTCAGATTATTAGAAGTTGCTGATCAAAATTGTGGGCACTTAAATTTCTTCTCTGGTAACAATACTTCAGATATCTGGTTTTCATAAGAGCTCCAAAAATTATTTTAGCTGTTCAACTGGCACCTTTCTCAAAAAGTAATAGCTCCAAATGTTGTTGATTCCTAGGAAAGCATTTACTACCTGGGGAGCATTTTCTGAGTTAACCATAACAGTTTATATACATTAAAACAAGTCAAGCTAGGCATGGTAGCCCTAGCTTCTTGGGAGGCTGAAGTAAGAGTACTGATTGAGCCCCCAGGTCATGGGCCAGCCTGGGTAACACACATAGTAAGACCTCATTTTAAAAATGTCTTGAAAATAACACCTACTGTGTATTGAGTCCTCACTGCCTTGCAGGCACTCTACTGTACACACTTTATATACTTTCTCACATTTGGTCCTGCCATCAAGGCTTTGAGGTAGGTATGGCTCACATTATATGCACAAGTGGTAAAGAACAAGGCTCAAAGAATTAAATCACTGAACAAGTTTGCTCATAGGTCACAGACCTGGACAGTGGGCCAGGCCCCGAGAGTGGCAGCAGCAGTTCCTGTAGCTCCACATTACTTAATAATGTTCAAGATGGGTAGGTTAAATTTAAGGGGTTTTTGTCTTACGTAAATCTATATCTTACAAACTTAATGAAATGGATATTATGAAAATACAGTTGGTTCATCATATAAATGGAAAGAATTTTTTAGTGTAATTACTTTGCAGCATCTGTAAGGGTATACTACTTGTCTGAGAAGAAAATTCCATGCAGTGAGGCTTTATAGTGTTTATGAAAAAAAGCAAAATAATAATTTTTCTTGTTTTAGATTTCTGGATATGCCACAAAAGGATCCGTGCCAGAAACAAGCCTGTGAAATACAGAAATGTTTGCAAGGTAGTATGTAGCATGCTTTTTAAATATATCTCAACTTTACCTGTCAACTATATGAAAAGGTTATTATTTTATCTGCAATCTACATTCTTTTCACAGACTGTAACATTTCTGTAATTCATCCTGAACATTTCTCCCATTGTAATGTCAAAGATAGAAAAGTTTTAAATCATAGTTGTACATTAGTATCACCTAGAGAGTTGCCTAGAACAATTACATCAGATTGCCAAGGGCTAGTGTCATCTGAGAAAGCTAATCATTACATAGTCAAGTTGAGAATTGCTGAACTGGTTAAGTTCCTTTATTAAAAAAAAGGACTAATTTTAAAATTAGTCTTCAGGGGTTGGGGCTACAGCTCCTAACTAAAGTAATTGCCCAGCATGCTCAAGGCCCTGGATGTGATCCCTAACACTGCCAAAACCAAACAAGAAAGTAGTCTTCACTGCAGCTGACAGCTCACTTTTTAAAAGCAGTCTTGTAGGAGGGGGTTGAAAATGCAAGTGGAATTTGTTGCCATAGTCAGCAACTAACTGTTAGTGGTGAAAGTAAAATTCAGGGGCCAGTGAGATAGCTCAGTGGACTAAAGAACCTGCTTTGGCAAGCTTAGGCAAGGGCAGGTACTGAGGTTTGATCCCCGGTACCACATGCCCTGCCAGCCTTTCCCCTAGGGCAGCCTGGGCATAGTGGTACATGCCTATAATCTCAGCGCTGGAGAGGCTGAAAGCAGGAGGATCATCATGAGTCCAAGCTGCATAGTGAGACCCTGCAACAACCAAATACATTTTTTAAAAAAACTGAAAAAGAGGGGCTAGGGAGATGGCTCAGTAGAATAAGCACTTCCCTGGGCAAGCACAAGGGCCTGAGTTCAATCCCTGGTTCCAATAAATCAATCAATCTTAAAATGAAAAATTCAGTTAAAGCATATTCAATGTGATTTGTCTGCTAGGCTTTAAATCAGCTGCTATGTGTGACCAAATAGTAGAGGACTATTTTTTTAATCAGTAAGTGATTATTACCAGAAAAGCAAGTAACATTATTATACTGTGTATAAGTGGTTTTTTGCATTTTTTTCCTATTATTAAAGTAATAGAGGTGGATGCTCATGAAAATATGAAGGCGTAAAGGAAAATGGTCAAGATTCCTCCAAATATTTACTACCTACCATAGAAAACTTTTGTGTATTTCATTTGATGTAACTTTCACCTTAGTTCATTTTATGATTATTTTATGATGTATATTCTGTTTTTATAAAAACCAAAGTACATATGTGGATTCTGTGCATTTTTCTAATCTATCAAATTACCAAAAGGGATTAGTCACCCTTTTTAAAAACACACATAAGCTATTAACCTGACCTTAGAAGAAAATTAAATTGTATATTAAAATAGTCTTCAACTGCTTTGTAAATTAAACTTTTCTAGTTGGCCTGTTGACAGGTCTGAGGGGAAAAAAAAACAAGGGATCTGACTCTATCTACTTGCTTCATTTCGTATGTACTGAAGGTTAGAAGGGGTACAAAGTGCTGATCTTGGGCCGGCAAGATAGCTCAGCGAACTAAGCGCCTGCTTTGGCAAGTGCAGGGACATGGGTTCCATCCCCGGTCCCACATGCCGCGCTGGCCTGCCCCCAGGGCAAGGTGAGCCATTGAACTGAGTCTGGGTTTGGTGGTGCACACCTGTAATCCCAGCTCTGGGGAGGCTGAAAACAGATGGATCACTAGGACTCTCAGCTGCGTAGTGAGACCCTGTTCCAAATACATAAATAAACTTTTAAAAAAGTGCTGATATAACCTTGCTATACACTTAGTTTGAAAAGATCATGACTCGGGTCTGCCTGTTTTTCAGCCAACAATTACATGGAATCAAAGTGTCAGGCTGTCATTCAAGAACTGCGTAAGTGTTGTGCTCGATATCCCAAGGGAAGCTCTCCTGTCTGCTCAGGATTTGAAAAAGAGGAGGAAGAAAAGCTGACACTGAAGTCTCCATCAAAGTAAAGTTCTGCTGAGAAGTTAAATGCTGCTTCATTTCTACCAAGAACATTTCGTTTATCCTCCTGACTTTCAGGCCAGGTAGCAGCAAATAGCAAATGAAAAAGTCAACTACAAGAGTTAATGACTATGTCATCTATGCAGAATATAGGAACAGAAATGCATTCAAAGAAAAATATGTAGGATGTAAAAACCGAGCTGCTAAAATAAAGATGTGTAAGTGAAAATGTTTGGTTTGGTACTATTTTAAGGCTATTAGATATTACCATTAGGAATTCTCTTCAGCACTTGAGTTCACCAATAATGCCATTCATCAAACTTAACTCATGGAGGCATAATAGGTGAAGACTCATGTCTCCTTTCCTAGATTAAAACTAAATTAATGGAAAACGTTAGCCCAACTCCATAGCTGCTGTACTTCCAGTAATGCAAAGTATCCTTCCAGATGCCTATAAGAGCATTTCTTTCTATTTTACATTCCCACCACAGCGGGATGTAAAATGCTTAATTTTTGTTCAGTCAGTGGTAGGAAAGGCATATAAATGATTCTTGTAATGTTTGGTGATCCCTTACTGTAAAGGAACTGAAGAACACATTTCACTGGAAGTCAGACAGGCAGCAGTAGAATAAAATGTTAAGTGGTTTATTCTTTATGACCTTATAACCAAAAGTTGTTACAGTACATCCAGATACTAATATGCAGATGCCGAAGGCAGCGTGTTGGCAGCTACTTTTATTGCCTTTTGCTTTCCAATAGGTGCTAGATCCATCATGCCACTCCTCCCCAAAAGGAAAAGATGACTTTCAATAAAGGAAGATGAGTATCAGAATAAAAGCAGAAGCAATTTTGGAGGTGTTCTCTTTTGTTTTGTCTTGTGTGGTACCAGAGATCAAACTCAAGACCTTGTGCTTGCCAGGCAGAATAAATTATTATTTTCTTTGCAGTACCAGGCATTGGACTTAGGATCTTGTGCTTGCCAGGCAGGCACTTAAACCACTATCCCCAGTCTGGAATTTTAGGAAGTCCTTGTTGTCCAAATACCATTATGGTTTGAGGCAGTATTCCCCAGTTTCTAGGAATTAATTTTTTTAAATTATTTTTTATGGGGGCTGGTGAGATGGCTCAGTGGTCTAAAGCACCTACTTAGAACAAGCTTCGCAAAGCACATGGACCGCGGTTCAATCCCCCAGCACCACATGCCAGCCAGCCCTGCCCCCTGGTGGGCTGAGCTGGCCACGGCCACACACACATACACATAAATTTTTAAAAAAATTATTTTTTATGTATTCAGCTCAGGGTCTACAGGGCCTTACTACACAGATCATACTCATAGTGATCCTGTTTTCAGCCTCCCAAGCGCTGGGATTACAGGCCCATACCACCATGCCATCTCAACGCCCCCTCTCAGCATGCCCTGGGGGCAGGGCCAGCACAGGCATGCTGTGGATGGAACTGTGATCCCTGTATCTGCCTAAGCAGGAGCTTTAGTCTGCTGAACTATCTGGCTGGCCCTGGTCAGGTATTTTAGAGAGTGCTGGCCTAGACACAAGTAAACAGGTTATTTTCCTATCATGGTTTAGTTTTGTGTATGCTAATATAAATGATTTCTTTGAAAGGAAATATACTGCCAAGTGAACCTATTTGTGCAGACAAGAATTTCTTTGGGTCACTGCTTTCCTGAGACTTAGAGAAATACTGCCTTGGGGATACTGATCAACAGACCAGAGTGAAATGCTAAATTCGAATGAAGTAATTTAAATGAACCCTTGTGTTAATAGTAGAATAATTTGGGGCCAGGAAGATGGCTCAGTAGAATAAGCGCTTCCCTGGCAAGCGCAAGGGCCTGATTTCAATCCCTGGATCAGACAAAAAAAAAGTATAATTTAATAAGGTTTTACAACTATGTTTATACCATCTCTAAATTTAAATTTAGATTTAATTGAATCTAAATTTTGTTAGTGGGATTTACATTAGAATTATAAAATCAAATAGATTTTTGTTTTATTTCAGAATTAATTTTGCTGAGTTTCAGGCTGTTTTGAAATATTTTTCCCTAAGGTACAGACTTTGAGTTCAAAAGCTTCAAGTCAATTGTTCCTTCCTTTAAACTGCCCTGTTTAAGTCAACAGATCTCTTAAAAGACAAAAACCTCTAATGGGTAAGAAGTTATGTTCTCTTCCCCCATTTTTTTTAAGACAGGATCTCCCTATGCACTTCAGGCTGGCCTTGAGCTCATGTAGGCCCCAGCTGACCTCACAGGGATTCTCCTGCCTCAGCCTTTCAAGTGCTGGGATTACAGGTGTAGGTCACCATGCCTGGCATTCATCCCCTTTTCAAACAGAGAAGTGAAGCCGATAGTTTGGAGGAGGAAGCAGAGGGCCATATTCTAATATTTCGACAGGGATGGAATATCAAATCTTCCCAAACACTGCTAATGCTCAGAAATTTTAAATCCATCCTTATACCATTTTTCCAAGCTAAGATTTATGGTATTTTCCCAAACGGTACAAAAGTAGAATTTTCAAGTAAGAGCTCAGCTACTAGTTAGGCCCGTCAAATGTCAAACAGAGGAGAGTATTAAGAGCAGTCAATACATGAATCTCTGCCTTTGGAAACCACAAGCACCTGCCCCAGGAGAATGCTGGTTAGAATCATATAGAGTTCATTCTTCATGGAGTCCAGCCCTCCTATGAGAATCACATCTGAGCCAAGCATAGTGGCCCATGCCTAGAATCCCAGCAGACCTTGGGAGACTGAGGCCAGAGGGTCTACAAGTTCAAGGCCTGAATTACATAGTGAGACCCTGTCTCAAAAAACCAAATATAGTAATAAGAGAATCACATGTGGTTCTTTCCTAAAATCCGTGCAGTAACTGCCCTCATCAGTCAGGTAACAAGGGCTCTCCTGCAAGTGACAGGCTGGGGCTACCTGGGGAGGAATCTGGTTAGCACAGTGACAGTGGCATTCATGAACTCAGGGGTAGCAATGAGGACACTGAGTCTTGGAGACTGAGATCTTGGCGCCCATCTATTGAGACCCAGCAGGAAAGGCAACTGCTCTTAAACACTATTGGCTTCTGGATGCAAGGCAGAACTCCAGCAGATTCATATGACCCCCTTTGCACAGGCTCAAAGGGTTGCCCAGAGTGGTAAGCATGCAGGATGGAGCCTCAGTAGCCCAAGAGGGGACACAAGAGCCCCGGAAGGTGCTGCTGAATTCAGGAGGGAAAAGACAGCAGGAATTCCTGCCATGTAATACATCTCTGCAGCTGTAGCGCTTTCAAGCTGGGAATGCAGTGTTACCACTACCTGCCAGCAGGGGGTGCTGCAACCCTGAACACATGCTAAGCTGTCAAACTGTAAGTACAAAGCTCAAGGTCAATCAACCACTTCACTTGAAGCAAGGTTGCCGGCATGTAGCTTCAGCTTAGTCTCCCTAAAGCCCAAGCCAACTTCAGTAAAGGTTCAGCTAGGCTGAATTGAGGTGTGTACCAGCTCCACACAGTTGCAAGGGATCAGCATTCAAGGCCGCTTTTGTAGTGTCAGGATGAAGCCACGGTACAGTAAGGACCTCGCTAGGTCCTTCACATTCTCAACAGCAGCCAGATGGGAATAAAGTTCAGGAGGGACATACAGACCTCATTTCAGACCACCAATATGGAATCTGATGCCAGCCTTACTAGAACTTCCTCAATGAAGTTTAGGTCAACCTAGTATTTGTTGTGTTCACCAGCAATCACAAAGACATAAAAAGGCAGCAAACCTCCACCCCATAGGAGAGACCTTTGGTAGCCATTCCCCTCTATGCAACCCAAAAGGTCACTTCTTTTAGTCCCCCAACCCCTCCGGAACATCTTGCTGTGCAGTTTTGGCTGGCCTTGAACTCACTGTGTAGCCCACCTTGGCCTGGAACTCAGTGATCCTGCCTCAGCCTCCTGTGTGCTTGGATGACAGCTGAGGCAACATGCTTGGCTTTGTTAAGTCTTTGTTGTCACTATTCCACTGGTATGGATTAATTCAAAGGCACAGTTGTCAATGGCTATAGGCATGACCACCATAAATTATATAACCCAGGCCTCAGCAAGATGTAGGGAAATAGGAAACAGATAACTTGGTGTCATCAGTAGATATATGCTGCAAGTTTTAAAAAAAGACCTATATGATTAAGACTCAGAAGATGCAAATGTTATATGGACCTTCTATGGGTTTTGACTCAAGCAAAATAAATGTGTATTATTTGAGGTAAAGAAATGTTTAACAATGACAAGATATTCAACAATATTAAAGAATTCTGGTTTTGGTTTAAGGTATTGTTCTTATGGTTTAAAGAGTACTCAACCTCAGTAAGTTTTGGACAGTTTCATTTTTGTGTATCTTGGTATGATTTTATTTAAATTTCTTGTGCAAAAGGTTCATTTTTCTTGGAAATATGGTATTATAAGTTGAACTAAATTCAGAAATTTTAAATCTTTAAGTATTTATTGCCTACTCCTGTCTACTTTGAGAATTCTAATTACATAAATATAAGTTTCTTGGTTTTGACAGTGAACTATTATAACTGATCTATAAATTCTTTCATTTTTATTTTGGACAAATTTTGTTATATTCATGTTTATAAATAATTTATTTTCAATTTGCAATCTATTAAAAATTAAAATAAAAAAGCAGCAGCAATTGTAAAAAAAAATAGTACTCAACGTGCAGCAACACATACCACAATGTGTAAAATGATTCTAAAAAAAATCATGATTTTTGGGATGATTCATAGGAAAAAAATAAGTAATAAAGAGGCTAATAACATTATGATGGGTAGGAGGCACGAGGAGATAGCTTGGCAGTCTAAGCGCCTGCCTGGCAAGTGCAAGGACCCAGGTTTGATTCCCAGGACCACATGCCACACTCACCCCAGAACCAGTGGGCACACCATGCCAGCCACTGAAACCAGGCATGGAGGCGCATGCGTGTAATCCTTGCTGGGAAGGCTGGGACAGGAGCACCACTAGGAGTCTGAGCTGTGTACAAGACCCTCTACCAAATAAATAAATAAAAGATTTTTAAAAATTAAAAAAGAAAACATGATGTGGGGATGACTCACACATTAGAAGTGAAATAGGTTATGTTGCCCGAAATGTCATTCAAATGTAATGAGGAAAATGCAAAATGGTGAATTCTATGCATGCACTTAGTTGTTTCCATTTTTAGAGTCAATACATCATTTTCAAGATAGCTTAGGGGCCAGAGAGATAGCTCAGTGGAATAAGCACTTGCCTGGCAAGCGCAAGGTCCTAAGTTCAATAAAAAAATAAAAGATAGCTTAAAAGGCAAACATTATAAATTACGACATTAGAAACACAAATACTTTATATGGAGCCACCTGCACGTGTAAGAACTGAGTAAAATTAACCTTTATAAGTTCACAAGTTATTATCAACAAATACTCAGAACCCCATTAAGTGCTAGACGCTGAGTGTAGTAGCTAAAGACTACAAAACCCTTACTCTGGAAACTGACATTCTACTGGGGGTTACAAAACATGTATTAAGACTCTAAATGTGTGTATATTAACTTTTATTTGAAAGAATAATTCTGAGTTGAGAGTTGGAGGTCATCATGAGACAGACTACACTTGATGAAATTTAATCCACATATACTGTATTATTGTTCTCTCTCAATCCTAAATGCCTGGAATGCTACTTTCAGATTCCAGCTTAAATGATGTATCTTGTAGTAACCGGGTAAAGAAACAGTTGGCATACAGGAGCTATGGCTACCCCTAATGTACTGAGAGATGTGAGGAATATTTTACATTTCACATAATTTTTTCTTTTTTTCCTAGCAGTGCTAGGGATTGAACCCAGGACCTAACAGATTCTCAGTGAAGCATTCCAATGCTACAGCCCAGCCAGGCTGGCCTTGAACTTGCCTTGTTGTCCTCCTAAATCAGCCTCCCAAGTAGCTGAGATTATAGGCATGTGTCAACATGCTCAGCCACATAATACCTTTTCTATGAAATAATGCAAGAGCTTTCTTCTCCCACCAAAATACTTGTTTTGCTAAAAATAAATCCTTTATAAATAGCATGGCATGTGTTATCCATTGTGATAGAAAACATGCCTGAACAAGTCATCTAACGATGTGAAAATGGATGTCTAGCGGTTGACTTCCCTAGACTTGTCTATCAAATGCAGTATCTTCAACACAGCATACACCTTTGGCCTAAGTTCATTTCCTATTCAGATTTTATTAGTTATAGTTCTGAGGCTGCCATTTTTTGTCAAGATAATTATAGCCAGTATAAATAGCTCTTTTCCTGTAATATAAAACCAACTAGAAAAGAAAGCACACACCAAGATATCAAAATC